TTTAAAATATATTTTAAAATATATTTTATATATTTTATATTTAAAAATTATATTTTATTATTCTGATATAAACTTGTTTACGATAAAAAGGCTTCGTATATTTTCTGGTTTAAAGATAACATTTTCACAAATTTTATGAAAATTTACGTGGAGGTCTTCTTGTCACAAATAAAATTTAATCGAAATAATATTTAAAATGTATTATTTTGAATATTATATAGTTTTTGTATACAATTTTTTTTTTGTGTGAAAATGTTATCTGAAATTTTGAAAATTGAGAAGTGAGTTTTTGGAATCTTAAATATTTTTCAATAATTCGCGCGTATAATATGTAACTGCAACATTACGTACATTCCCATCCCCATTGAGTAAACATCACCATTCTCTGCTAATAAAATGGTATGATCATAACCGCAGACAAGATCAACGAACTTGACTCTTTTTGGCATTTTAACCAAAAGTGGAGCATTAAATACACGTCCTTAACAAATAAAAAATTTAGAAAGTTTTTGTAAAAATATATATTTAATGGCATGATACTGGATTTAATGAAATAATGGAATAATACTTGATTTACCTAAATTAGTTAGAACTACTGTACATCCTGCTTGTGATAACTTGATGGCATATTCAGGCAGTGTATTATCATTGCTGGGAATAAAAGGTGTCACTTTTTGCCAAGAGTCATCATATACTTTATATTTCCAGATTTCATTATGTGTTGATAAAATAATTACACTTTCTCGACCAGGAATAGCTATTTTACAACTGAACAAAGAGAATAAAATATGTAAGGAAAAAAATTATTAATAAAAAAAATAATGATACTTTGTGTTTATTACCTTCCTGATGATTCCTCTGGAATTTGAATTAAACGAGGATTATTTTTATCATTGTTATCACTGATTTTTCCAGTAATATATAATTTTGTATCCTGCCAGAAAAGAAAATAATTCCAACTAATCTCAATATCTGTGACTCCAGCAAATGGAATCTGAGTCAAATGTGCTATTGATGTGATAATTCCATCCTGATTGGAAAAGAGCGGACTGGCATTTAAACCGGTATAATACACTGGCATATTTCTGTGAATAAATATATAGTAAATACATAATAAAGCTCGACAAATATTCAGGTATTTGAATGTCCGCTCGCCCACTCTTTACTAGTCGCATAAGGGTATCCCTATGCTCTATATGATAACTGTACGATATATATTTTCAATGAATTATTAAATTATTGATATAAAGAAATACTGTAACGCATAAACATTAGTTTATTGAATGTCACAGACTTTATCAGGACCGATCTATTATTTAATATTGAATTGCTCTGTGGAATCGATTTTAACTTGTATGAAATAGAATAATAGTTAGGTAATTATTATGTTATTTTTATGTTTTAATTAATTTATATTATGTTATTTGTTGTATTTTCCAAATTATATAATATGTACGAGATACTATCGAAAATTTTCCGGACTTATTCTATAAAAATGTTAGGCTTACCTTATTTACAATTTGCCTTCATCCTTTTCGAAGTAGTCTCCTTGTGACTTTATAGAGCCACCCTAGCGCTTCTGCCATGCTTCAAATTTCCTCTGAAAATTTTTTAGTGTGTGAAACAGCCTCTGCGATTCGGTCTCGATCTCTTGTACCGAAAATGTCGCCTTTTGAGCTTCAGTTTCATTTTTGGAAACAAAAAGAAGTCACAAGGGACTAAATCTGGCGACGGTCCTTACGAACGATTTTTACAATTTTTTTCAACATTTTCGGGGGTTATGCTGGTGCGCAGCCGTCCTATGTGCTTGTCGTCTTCGACCAACATTCGGCCCTTTTTGAAGCGTGCATGCCACTCGAAACATTGTGTACGATTTAGAGCGTAGAGTCTCGGTGGCCGATTTTTCGAGTTTGACACAAAACTTTGATCAAAATGTTGGTCGAACACGACAAGCACACAGGACGGCCGCGCACTAGCACAACCCCTGAAAATGTTGAAAAAATTGCAAAAATCGTTCGTGAGGACCGTTGCCAGATTTAGCCCCTTGTGACTTCTTTTTGTTCCCAAAAATGAAACATAAGCTCAAAGGGCGACATTTCAAAATGATACAAGAGATCGAGACCGAATCGCAGAGGATGCTTCACACGCTACAGCAAAAAAATTTCTAGGAAAAATTTGAAGCATGGTAGAAGCGCTGGGATATGTAAAGGTCACAAGGAGATGAAAGGGGATGGAGACAAATTGTAAATAAGGTATACCTAACATTTTTTATAAAGTAAGTCCGGAAAATTTTCGATAGCATTTAATATAATTATTTATATTAATATTATTTATATTTAATTTTTTAGTTTATTATTATAAAAATCACATTTTATTTCTAATCAAAAATTTAAATAATTAATGAAATTATAAATTATCCAGTTATTGAAAAAAAAATAACATGAATTAAAAAAATATTTTTTTAAATCAAAAGAAATATGTGACAAATTTAAGAGGTAATAGGTTTCATCAAGAGAATCAATTTTTATTAAGAAACCCATATTTTTCGACATCCTTAAAGGGCTTTACTTCGTGGTCGAAGCGCCTGTGAGATAGGCAATCGGTCACACGATAACATTTATTGTTAGCGTAATACAACAAAATAATATATATATACACTACTTCACATCTTTTAAATAATATATATTAGTTTACATCCTTTAAACAAAATAAAAAAAAATAACGAAAAAAGCAAAAACAAAATTAAAGGACGTGGATTTTATTATTAATATTGTTAGTCTATCGTTCAATACTGTCGCGCGATCAATTACTTCACAAATGGTCTGAATGCGTAGGGATGCGTAGCTCCGTCAGGACAAAGATTTTGATTTCTTGATAAAAATTGATTCTTGATAAAAAATAAAAATTGATGAGATTTATCATCCTCTGAAGTTTGTCCCATAGGTCTTGAAATACCCTATATAGGTAACAAATTGTAATTTACCTATTGTTGTTTTACAAGAGCAGTAATAATGTCATTATTCGCACATGGTAACGAAATAGCAGCTTCACTTATCTATATCAGATGCGCTGATCACCATGTAACACCAGAGCAACGTCAGAGTATGTAGATGTCACTATCTTCCTTGGATACCAGAAAAACAACATAACATTTTCTAGTCGAAGTAGTCGATATATTACAGCAAATCGTTAACACGTCTTCGTTCGAGTACCTGAAATAACAACAAGATGGTAAAAATGTCACGTGAATTAAATGCAAATGCACAGTATTATGCACTCTTTTTTTGTTTTTGCCACTGCCTTTTATACTCTTGAATGCACGAAGTAATCAAAATAATCTATAACCTACGAGGATTCCACACCAATCACAATATATCCTGAAATGCATTTGTATAAAGCGTTATATAAAAACTTTCTTACAAATTGTAAAATTTTTCATTAAAAAGATGATTCTGTCATCTTATGATGTAAGGGTTCACCTATATTTTTCTGTATATTGAACACATATATATTTCTATACACTTTCTATGCACTTGAGATGATACAGATTATGTCTTCATCGCCATACTTTTTTACCCATCCCTTTGAAAGGGAATTACTTTGGGGAGATTTCTTATGATTGTAGCACTGTTGATCGCGCGCGTAATACAAATTATTGATACATACAAACATGTAATTTCTTTCTTGCAATTGCAAAATTATTAATTAGAAAATCAAGCTAATTAGACAGTTTGACAAAAAATGTAATTTTGCATTTTTTTTGTAAAAAATGATACACACATACACATCATATATAATATAAATTTATTTTATTTATTTATTTAAAGCAGATATTTGTGTATTTTACGATATAAAATTTTATAATAATGTATAGTATAACGTCATATATAATTGCTATAGAGAAAAAAAAAGTTTAATTTAAGTTAATTTACTATGAGAAATAAATAATACATTTATCAGTAATTATATTGCAACGTAAAACGCGCGTACGTAACATGCTGTAATTAAAAAAAAAACATGTTCTACACAATATATTACAATTAGTTGCACAAATAATTGATATTCGATGTCAGGGTCTGCTTGCTATTTTACGGAAATTGCGATCAAATCCTGATAAAGAATTACGATTATTACTGTTGGGCCTCGACAATGCCGGAAAGACGACTATCTTGAAATCTTTGGCTAGTGAGGATATCACGCAGGTAAGTTTCTCCTCTTAACACTTGAAAACGTGTTAGGTTAGATTGTGATAAAGTGAGAGTTAAACGTTCAAAATATGACAAATTATGCAATATAGATATGGTTTTAATTAATTTTCTCAAGGTTACTCCAACACAAGGTTTTAATATAAAAAGCGTCCAGAGCGAAGGTTTCAAATTAAACGTTTGGGATATTGGCGGAGCTCGAAAAATTCGACCTTATTGGCGAAATTATTTCGAGAACACGGATGTACTTGTAAGTTTCTTCGCATTATTTTCCAAAATTTTCAAGTTGTAATTATAAATATTATATATAACTTATATTTTTAATTAATTTTTTTTCAAAAGTAATTTTAATAGATTAATTAGACTTTTGCAACAAATTACGATTAAAGTAATATTCAAAATATTATTTGAAATATTAACTAAAGCACATTTAAAAAAATTACAAATTGTGTTTTTGTATCTACAATAAATACAATTTATTCAAGTTCAATTTTGATTTGTTTTTGGAGAATGTACCTAATTAAAAATAATAATTACATAATTATATAGCCAATTGAAATGCAAGTTACATTTAAAATAATAATGGGTTAATTTAAATTTATTATTTAAAAAGTTAAAAATAATGGAAAATCAATTTGCAGTAATCAAAATATGAAGATATTAAATATCTGAGAAAAACAAAATTTTGAAAAGAAAACGAGGCTTGTTGTTTTTGTTTGTTTTTTTTCATAAAAAGATCGTTTTTTTCGTCCTACAAATCTGTAAAAAATAAATTCTTTTTTATTCCTCAGGAAGGCTTAGAGTGGGCGTGCAAGAACATTAAGAAGAAGTAATAAGCACGCCGTGGAAAACTCGATCGACGCGTACATTCCACATTAGGGCGCACGAAAGAAAGCAGACTTACACCTCTCTCCATTTTACATTTCACACACATGATCTTTATTTTTATCTTTTAGCTACTATTTACAAAAAATATTACTGAGAACACTGTTGTTTGTGGATTCGCTACGAACGTCCGAATACCGCAGCTTGAGTTCTTACGAACTTGTTGTCGTATGTATCCAGTCGTAGGACTTCCGTTCCACGTTGGAACGAGCCGCTCGTCATCAGCCGGACTCGAGAGGTTCTATTTTTCACATAAAAGGAAGAGTCGCCGTCCATAACAGCGAGCGTATTGCAAAGGGAAATGTGCCTTCTTGCTGTTTTAATTATATATTAGAATTTTTATAGATTTATCTATAGTAAAGAATAATAAAGAGATGAAACAGGAGGAAAGACGCGATATGTGTATTCGTGGATACAATTATTAACATGACATTTATGCCTATAAATAGGGTAGAGACTTTTGAGCACCACATATTATTGCACTCGCGAAAGAGACGCGCTAAAGCGTAATACGTATGAGGAGGTCCATGCGAGTGCACTTTCCTTTATCTTAAGTAACAAATACTACATAAGCAATTAAGAGAAAAACGAATAATGTTGTCAACTCAATGGCTTTTAATTAGAGATGATTAAAATCTATCTGTTCATATAAATATAACGCAGCATAAGATCATAAGATTTACTTGCAATTCTATGTCACAAAATGTGATATATTATTAATAATTAATTTTGAATTCCAATGATACACAAAAAGTATATATACATACATAAAACTTGATGGATCTTCTTAAATATTCTTAACTACACATGTAGTATTTATTTCTTAAATTGTCTGATTAATTATCGACGTTTTGCATATACTATGCATATACATGCTTTCGCAGAATCTTGCTTTGCAGAACATAAACTTATTCAAATAATACGAAAATATCTTAAAAACATCCATCATATTAGATATCCATAAAATAAGGATGTTTTCTATACATCTTCATAACGTCTTTTAATGTCTGTGTCGCTTAGAGTTATGTTTTATTAAAATTTAGTATTTAAGATTGACGTTTTATATAGCGTTTTTGCTTATATGTACATATAAAGAAGAAATAGTCCTTGACAGTTTAATTATTTCTATTGAATCAATTGTCGCAATCTAGCGCCAGCCTAATATTATTGAGCGCAATTTTTTTGTGCAATAAATACGTTAAAGAGTGTGGATGGTAGAGAACACACACGGCTTCGCGGCACGTCTTTCTAGTCTAGAGGTGACTTAATAGCCAATATCTTTCACAGGCTATTAGCGAGTTAAGCTCAAAGCTCGTTATGAATATTTTCGGTAGTCGCTCTGATCTCTTCTTCGTGGAAAACAGTGCAATCCGCTGGGTATTTACTCTGAAAATAGAATAAAAGTTTCAGATTAACTTCTTGCTATTTAGAATAGAGACAAGGCGAGAGGAATCAACTAATACAAATATTTTTTATTATCAAAATAATTATTATTTTATGATCGTTATTAACTACCTTCAAACTCTTTTCTAGATATACAGGGTGAGTCATTTTAATATATAATATCTCGTAAAGTAAGCAAGATGGAAAAAAATGTTTTATACAAAAGTTGTAGGGTTTCGAGGAGGACATAAGGTGGTGTCATTAATTTGACCTTGAGAACAAATTATATATATCTTAATTAAAAAATATAAGTTTAAAAAAATTTATTATAATTTAAAATAACTCTCTTCTATTAAAATCACATCTTCTGCATTTTCTCTCTATTAATTATATAGTTTACTCACAATGCATCCCTCGCGCTCCATGATGACTCCGTAGAGTGACCAGAAATTGATTCCTAACTTGTTACTGACTGCCCAAGCAGCAGGGAAACTCGCTGTCATCAGCAGGCCACTACGTAGGCGTGATTCCTTGTCGTCCTGCTGACTCTTCTCGTTTATAGTACACAAGATTTGACTAGCACAATGCGGCACTTTTGTCGCCCATTTATATGCTCGATACGCCTGAAAATAAATGATGTATGCTCTTAAAAAATCATCAAAATTTAATTTGAGATAAGTTAAGGTGCAATATACAACATGTCACTTAAAGACAGCCCACTAAATACATAGCATTATTCCTTACCAAAAAATGAATCGAAAAATTCTCAATCATTTTTTTCTATAACACTTAATAAAGGAGTAATTATTGAGTAAAGTCAAGCCAATCAGTGCCGATCTTTAGCCGCGCGCCCGGCTAAAGGTACTGATTGGCCTGACTTTACTCAATAATTACTCCTTTATTAAGTGTTATAGAAAAGAATAATTCAGAACTTTTCGACTCATTTTTTAGCAAGGAATAATACTATGTACTTAATGGATGGTCTTTAAGTGATACCTAATATACGTGTATATACATATACAAGTACATGATCACGATTAAACAAGAGATTTATGACTTTAATATTACATTGATGTTTAAGATATTCTATCTATACAGTATTACTCTTTTTTTATATAAAAATTATATTTTTATAAAAAGTATTCTATTGATACCTAATATATACATATACAAGTACATGATCACGATTAAACAAGAGATTTATGACTTTAATATTACATTGATGTTTAAGATATTCTGATATTCTATCTTTACTCTTTTTTTATATAAAAATTATATTTTTATAAAAAGTATTCTAATAT